GAGTCCTGCACCGGCAGCGGCCCTCGGCGGAGGGGTCGCGCGGCCGCGGCCAGGCCCCCAGCGCTGGCTCCCGCCCGGGTTTAGAAAGACTGGAAGGGAGGCCGCCTGCAGCCAGGCCTCGGGTCGGAGGGATGACTCATGCCGCTGTCTTCCTTTGAAATTTCAAAGTGAGGACTCCCTGAGAAGTTTGTTGACTGACCTCACACCCTCCCTCCCCCCAGGCCCAGGACCCAGGCTGCCATCACCCTTGGCAGTGGGCAGTGACTGTCCTGACCTCCGACCTCAGCCCTCCCAGACACAGCAGCCCCTTCCCATGCTCTCTGATCTGAATTGATCAGAAATTGTTGGAGAAGGGCTCCCCTGCTCACACCTTGCCCCCTGGTACCGCCCACTTCTGTGGCTCAGGTGTCTCTGTGGGAGGACCTGACAGGGCCTGGTGACTCCTGGAACAGGCCCCTGGAAGCCCAGCCTTGGACAACAGGGTTCTCCCTGGCAAGTGTCTTGGTGGGCTCTGGAGCCTGGGCCTCTGCTGCTAATGCTGGCCTTGTTTAACTGAAGTGGGCTGAGGTCTGTTGAGCAGGGAGAGCAGAGGTCAGCTAGACAGTGGTCAGTGACTCAGGGGCTGAACAGGAACCCTGCATCAAGGCTGAGAAGGGGGCCAGACATGATGGTCAGGAAACCCAGGGACCAGAAGGAGATGCCAGTGGCCCTCAGTCTGCCCACCAGAGAGAGGTTGCTTGTGGTTAAGGAGGGCCCTGGCGTCCCTTGGCACTCACCTAGACTATTTTGTATATCTGGGGAGAAGGATCTAGGGTGCCCACCTGGGTAGGTTGGCTTTGCATGGGGTGTGAGTGGGCAGGGGTGAGGACCCCGAAGGGAAAGATACCCTCAAGGTGCTGGGGCTTGGCAGCCTGTGAGCCAGCAGCTGTTGCTGGTGCCATAAATGGCCCTTAGGAGGGATGTGGTCAGCCTCCTTCCTCCTGCACAGGCCACCTCTCCTGGGGACACGCCCTGCCCGATGCCTGATCCTCAGCACACTTTGGGACTGTGAGTCTGATATTGAGAGGGATCCTGTCCAAACTGGTGAGGGTCTCCACACAGTTTGTGCCTTCTGGGTTGTCTGGGGAGAACTTGTGCAGCCCCTCCCCTGAGTCAGAAGCCCTATTACTTGCTTCTGTGTGATAAATCAGGAGGGCAAGCTTCCTGGCCAGAGTGAGCCTATTGGTGGGTAGGCTTCAGGGCAACCCCTCTGTAAGTTCTGAATTGGGCTCATTGGACCTCAGGTCTGTGTACTTGCCCTGCAGAAATGACTGATCCCTTCTGTGTTGGAGGAGGCCGCCGGCTCCAGGGGTCCAGCAGAAGTGGACCTGGGAAGGGTGGCAGCCGGAAGGAGGTCCGACTTCCCATGCTACAGGACTCACCAAAGCTGGGTGAGGAGCCAGGGCCAAAATCACTTCCAGAGGGTCACTCTCTGAGTACCCAAGGGCGTTCTGGGGTAGAGGCTGTTTTGGACATAATTTGTGCCTGGGTTCTTGTCCTAGGCTGGCAGGGCCCCTGCCCCCAAGCCTTGGCATTGGTGAACCCAGGCTCATTGCACATCTGCCCCCCTTGTGCCAGCCACAGTGCAGTCCCTGAACCTTAGTGCCCCGTATGCTACAGGGATGCCTGTGGTCCACAGTGGACAGACAGTATCTGGCCAGGCTCCTCTCTGCTTTGACCCAGGAAGTCCAGCCAGCGACCGGACAGAGGGGAAGAAAAAGGGGCGGCCCAAGGCCGAGAACCAGGCCCTGCGAGACATTCCTGTGAGTTACCTGAGGCAGGGGTGGGGCTCATGATGGGTCTGCCTGTAGAGGTCACTGACCTACACTAATCTCCCCTCTGCACCTCCCCTGTCAGTTCTGAGTTTCAGGATGTAGGCTGAGGCCCTTACCTCTGATAGCTGTGAGGGCCCAATGAGCCATGCTAGTAGCCCCAGCACAGATCTGGAGCTGGGCTTGAATTCTTGTTGCAGTCTGGAGGTTGAGGGGTTGTGCTGCCTCTGTGCCCTGTAGCCTGGGGAGGGTTCTGAGTCTGGGGCTTGGAGGGCTGAGGCCTAGGTGGATGAGAAGCAGCAGTCCAGCCATTCTCTACGCTCAGCTGTCACTCATGAACCAGTGGAAAGATGAATTCAAAGCTCACTCCAGGGTGAAGTGTCCCAACTCAGGGTGCTGGCTGGAATTTCCCAGCATCTACGGACTCAAGTACCATTACCAGCGCTGCCAAGGGGTAAGGGGCTATGGGTCAGGGAGGAGGTGGCCTAGGGGTGTGCCTGGGCAGAGGTCCCGGGGCCCCATCCCACACCTGCCCTCCCTGCCCAGGGCGCCATCTCAGATAGGCTGGCTTTCCCTTGCCCCTTCTGCGAGGCTGCATTCACCTCAAAGACCCAGCTGGAGAAACACCGGATTTGGAATCACATGGACCGTCCCCTGCCAGCCCCCAAGCCTGGCCCAGTCAGCCGACCAGTCTCCATCAGCCGGCCTGTTGGGGTCAGCAAGCCCATTGGAGTGAGCAAGCCTGTCACTATGGGCAAGCCTGTGGGAGTCAGCAGACCCATTGGCATCAGCAAGCCGGTCACAGTCAGCAGACCCGTGCCAGTCACTAGGCCCATGCCGGTCACCAAGCCTGTCACAGTCAGCAGGCCTATGCCAGTCACCAAGGCCATGCCAGTCACTAGGCCTGTGCCAGTCACCAAGCCTATCCCAGTCACCAAGTTGGTAACAATTACAAAACCTGTGCCGGTCAGCAAGCCAGTGCCAGTCAGCAGGCCCGTTGTGGTCAGCAAGCCAGTGCCGGTCAGCAGGCCCATTGCCATCAGCAGACATACACCAACCTGCAAAATGGTGCTGCTGACCAAGTCTGAGAACAAAGCACCTCGTGCTGCTGGGAAGAGCAGCAGTAAGAAAAGGTACAGGAGCTCACACCTAAGTATCCTTATGCATACCTAGGGTCCAGGCCACGGCTGGCCACCTGGCCTCACCTACCTCCTCTGCAGGGCCGCAGACAGCCTGGACATCTGCCCTATCCCACCAAAGCAGTCCAGGCCAGAGAATGGGGAGTTCAGCCCATCTACCACGGACCAGAGCTTGGCCTTACAGCTGAGTACAGATCCCAGCAGTAGTTCCCTGCTGCTGGGTGGGAGACCCTCAGTGGGCAGGGAGGCAGTGCGGCCTGCAGGCCCTGTGTCCCCACCTGAGGAGGACCCCGAGCGCACAAAGCATAGTAAGATGAGAGCCCTGAGGAAAGTCGGGAGGTAGGTGGGGCTCTGGCTCCAGATGGTCATTTGACAGATGTTGATCCTTGTTTTCTCTCCCCCGAGTCAGGAAGGAAACAGAAAACACCCAAGAAATTCACAGGGGAGCAACCGTCCATCTCAGGGACCTTTGGACTCAAAGGTGAGACCCCACCTGCAGGGCACCTCTGAGATTGGGTGCCTCCACACCTGTGCCTGCACCTAGCCCACACTTCCCTGCCCACTTATCTGTGCACACAGGCCTGGCCAAAGCCGAGGATAAGGCTCGAGTTCACCGCTCCAAGAAGCAGGAGGGGCTGGGTCCTGAGGATGTGCGGAAGAAGGTGCAGGCCACCCCTGTCATTGTCAGCAAGGAGGCACCAACTCCTGTGACCCACTCAGCCCCAGGTGGGGCTGCCGGCCAGGGCCCAGGGCAGGTCTCAACTGTGGGGTGGATTCCATGGTTCAGGCACAGGGGCTGATTGTGGAGCCTGGGTGCTACTGCTACCCCTGGCATCCAGGAGCCTCCACAAACCTCTGAGGCCCCAGTCCTGCCCCACAGGTGGTCCTGAGGAGCAGTGGCAGAGAGCTATCCATGAACGGGGGGAGGCCATCTGCCCTACCTGCAATGTGGTCACCCGGAAGACCCTTGTGGGGCTCAAGAAACACATGGAGGTGTGTCAGAAGGTAGGTTGCCTGGGAGACACTGGGAGTGGGGATTCCTTAGCCATGGCCAGCCTCATATTGCCAGGCTGTGTCTGTAGCTGCAGGATGCACTCAAGTGCCAGCACTGCCGGAAGCAATTCAAATCCAAGGCTGGTCTCAACTACCACACCATGGCCGAGCACAGTGCCAAGGTATGCTGCCAGGACCCCAGGGCCTGTCTCACCCTGACCACTGACAACTAACCCCACCCTGCTGCTCCCCCTTGCCTGACCTTGGACCCAGGGGTCCCAACACCTGAGCTCACCCTGTTCTCAGCCTGCTGCTGCTGAGGCTTCCGAGGGCGGGGAGCAGGAGGAACGAGAGCGGCTGCGCAAGGTGCTGAAGCAGATGGGGCGGCTGCGCTGCCCCCAGGAGGTCAGTGTGGGGAGCATGTGTGCACGTGGGACTTGGAGCCTCTCTGGCTGCCTATTGACCACTGGCCTGGATCCCCAGGGCTGCGGGGCTGCCTTCTCCAGCCTCATGGGCTATCAGTACCACCAGCGGCGCTGTGGGAAACCGCCTTGTGAGGTAGACAGCCCTTCCTTCCCCTGCGCCCACTGCGGCAAGACTTACCGCTCCAAGGCTGGTCATGACTACCATGTGCGATCAGAGCACTCGGCCCCGGTGAGTGGCCTGTGGTCTTCATGCTCCCATGGCTCTCCAGTGGTCTGTGCTGTAACACAGTACTCCTTCCTGCCACCTGATGGGTGTGATCCCCACTCTCCTTGTAAGTCACTTACATCCCAATGGACTGGAGGGTGGGCACCAGGAACTCCTGTGTCCCATCTTCCTTGGGATGCCTGTGTTATCCCTGTCCCCCACACACTTGTATGCACCCTGGGTCCCTGTGTCTTCAGGGGCCACATGTGGCCCACATCTCATGCTGACTCTGACCTGCCATCTCTGGCTGTCCTGCTTCTGCGGCTTATCCTGGCTACCATGTGACCCTGCTCTCCAGCCTCCCGAGGAGCCCATGGAAAAGACCCCTGAGGCTGAGGACTTGCTGGGTGTGGAGCGGACCCCAAGTGGTCGCATCCGCCGCACCTCGGCCCAGGTGGCCGTGTTCCACCTGCAGGAGATTGCAGAGGATGAGCTGGCACGGGACTGGACCAAGCGACGCATGAAGGATGATCTTGTGCCTGAGACTGCACGGGTGAGCTGCCTACCCACATGTGGATGGGGTATGGGCCTTCTTCCCTGAGATCTTCCCCAAGCCCCTGGCCTCCTTGTCTCTGGGCAGGACATGCCTCAATCCAGAGTCCCTGGTGACAGCCATGCCCCTGTCTACTGATCCCAACTCTGGAAGGGACATTGAGTTGCTGCTGAGGCATACATACAGTCTCAGAGCCTGGGTGCCTCTGGGCCTGGACTCACCTGCACTGTACCTGGCTTTACAGCTCAACTACACGCGGCCAGGCCTCCCCACACACAACCCCCAGCTACTGGAGGCATGGAAGAATGAAGTCAAAGCAAATGGCCACGTAAACTGCCCTAACGATGTGAGCGGGGCGGGCTGAGTGGGTGGGCATGGGAGGTCCAAGACAGGGCAGATGTGGCCTTCAGGGAGTGGCAGAGGCTGAGACCGAGATCTTTTAGGAGGCAGCCCTCAAAATGACCAGCCTTGCTTCTGATTCTGAGCTCCCACAGGATTCTCACTTAAGACCCCATTAGCAGAGGGGCCTCAGGCCCTACATGCCCAGCCTAAACCCCAGGACTCTTGGAGTCAGGTCCTTCCACATGCCCCAGAGAGAGGCTCCGAGCTCCCTGAGGCCGAGGCAGGTGCACCTTTGTGTGGGAGACTCCCCACCGGCCTCCCCCCCATGGCTGTCTCCCACTGCAGTGCTGTGAAGCCATCTACTCCAGTGTGTCTGGTCTCAAGGCCCATCTGGCCAGCTGCAGCAAGGTCAGTCCTGGGGGCTCCCTGTGGCCCAGAGGGTGCTCAGCATTCCCACCTTTCTCCTGCCAGGGGTCCCTCCACATTAGTGTGAGAACCTTCCCTGCTCCCATTGCATGAGCCCAGAGACAGGCTGATATAGACAGTTGGTTCAGAACCCCTCCCTGCCTCTACCCCAGCCATAGGACGGTCAGTCCCCAGCCTTGTCCTCAGCTCCTTGTCTATGTGGGTATGTGTGGGAGGTCAACCTGACCTGGGCACACTATCTTGGGAAAGGACCCTCAGCAAAGGTTTGTGACCCTTCCCCAAGACACCTGCTCTTCCCATCCTCAACTCCCCGGTAGCAGGAGCCAGTTAATGGTCCTGCTGCAGGGTACCCTTACAGGTTCCTGAAACAGCTGCAGATTCGCCAGCTGTCCCTGCCCCTTTAGTGGTGAGATAAGGGCTTGAGCCAGGTGTGGGCTTTGGGCCCTTAAGAGCCAGGGACTGCACTGCCTTGCTTTACAGGGGGACCACCTGGTAGGGAAGTACCGCTGTCTGCTGTGTCCCAAAGAGTTCAGCTCTGAAAGTGGCGTCAAGTACCATATCCTCAAGACCCATGCAGAGGTGCGGGAGCAACCACTGGGCCAGAGCTGGGGGAGGCCCAGGAAGGGTAGGGCCAGAGCTGGGTGGTGGAAACGGGATGGCCTAGGAGTGTCTATTTAAGCAAGTGGCCAGCATTGAGAAGTCTGGCAGTTTCTCCTCATAGGGTATCCAACTCCCCCAGAAAAGCTGAGAAGCTGGGTCCTGCCGGGCAGCCTGAGCAGGAGCTGCTTGTGGGTGGGAACCCTGCCCTCAGCCCTCTCTGCAGCTGCCTACCTGGCCTGAGGGTGACTGGGTCTCCAGTGTGGGCAGGGTCCCAGGTCTTCGTTGGGGCTTTTCTCTCCCCAGAACTGGTTCCGGACCTCAGCAGACCCACCTCCCAAACACAGGAGCCAGGGTCCCTTGATATCCAGGAAAGAGAAACGAAGTCTGGCGGGAGGAAAGAAACGGGGCCGCAAGCCTAAGGAGCGGCCTCCTGAGGAGCCCATGCCCAAGCTCCTCCACCGCCGGGACGACTGGCCCTTGGGAGGCAGGGACAAGGGGTCTCGGGGCTCCACTGGGCGGAAGGTGGGAGCCAGCAAGGCACCCTAAAAGTGGACCCCACACTGGCTGCCAAGCCCCACTCTGTTCAGGGTGGGGGAGCCACTCTGGACCTCCTGTCCTCCATCCTCACCCCCATCCATCTGTCCAGTGGAGGTGGTGAGCCATTGTCTCCTCCGCGAAGGTGGCCCTCCCTTGTTCAGGGCACACCTGGGTGGAGCTCCACAAGGGTGCCAGGGGCAGCAGCAGAAGTACAAAGGGTGGGGCAGCCTCCCTGTGAGGACGCTCAGGGGCCTGGCAGCATCTGGGGCTTTGGCACCCAGGGGCTGCAGTGCACAGCAGTCAGATGTTCTTTGGCCCCTGTCTCTGCTTCCTCAGATCCAGCTGGGTCCCCACCCTGGCTCCCATGACTGGGGCATCCCTGGTGACCTGTGGCTGTGGGCCAACGAGAGCACCTGGGCATCCCTGGCTGCCACCACCTGGGCCTTGCCTCCACCCAACACTGGAACTCCAGTACCCCAGCTACCTCCCAGGACAGACCCCGTCCAGCCACTGCCATGCTGACCTGACAGCCACCTGCCCACCCTCGTCCACCCTCCAGTTCCTCTGCTTCTGTTTTCTACCTCTCTGGGCCTGGCCCCATCCTCTGTCTGTCATTCCTGCTGCATTTCAGGCCCCAAACCACTGGTCCTTGTCCTCAAGTTGGAGGGACAGCTTCCTGTCTGCTCTGCCCAGACATGTGGAGGACCAGAGGCTTGTGTGCTCTGCTTCCTGCCTCCAGCCTCTGTCACTTCAAGCCAAGGTCACAGCCTGAGGGGGCTAGGGGCTTCTGGGTTCAGGGCCAGGTGGAAAGGGCCCAGCTCCGAAGGTGAGCCCCATGGAGAATATCCTCTGCCAGGTGGGGTCAGCCCAGAGGCAGAGCTCCTATAGAAACCCTCCTCCCCTTTACCTGCTCCTGTACATCTGGTGGCATGGGATACAGGAACCAAAGGCCAGTGGGAGAGGGGGGCTTGGACTAGGTGGCAGCTCTAGGGCTGTGAGGAATCTGAAGATGGCAGGATCTGCAGGTAGGGCAGGGGTCAGTCAGGAGTCCTAGGGCACCTGGAGGGGGAGCCCCACTTGCAGCCTCTGTGTAGGGAGGAAGATGCTCAGAGACATATGGATGGAGGCTGTTTACCAGTGGGGGCAGGGAGGGCTGAGGGCATACCCTTGCTGATCCTGGACGATGTGAATTTTGATATTTGCCTGTGTGCGTGTCTCCTGGGTGTAGTGGATGCCAGTCTTGTTGCTGTGACAAGTAACAACCTTTTTTTAAATTCTGTTTTTTATACAAAAATTCACAACAATCTGACATTTTGGTGCTAAGGGTTTCCTGGTGCCGAAGGTGGGGCTGGGTTGGCCCAGGGCTGTGCTGTGGCTCCTCTGCTGCTCAGGGGACAGGGAGGAGGGTTTCCAGCTGGGTTGTCCTACCCTGCAGTAGAGAGACCAGTTCCATGGGGCTTTGGGGATGGGAAAACTGACTGGGCAGGCCTGGCCTGATGTGTTGGGAGGGGTGGAGAGAATAGACTCCCCCAGCCTCACACACCTGGACCTGGTCTGAGGATGGTGGCCTAGGTGGAGATGAGTGTGGGCAAGGATCAGAGGAGAATCTGGGACTCTGGGGCAGTGTGCTTTCCAGGGCACCTGAGTGCACCCATGGAGGGCCAAGTGCGCTTGGCCCTGTTTCCATGGTGGAGGAGGTTGGGCTCCAGCAGGGTGGCCTCCTGCCCAGCCTCTCAGGTATTTGGCACTTGGGGGGAAGGAGGCCAGGCTCTTTTTTTTTGGGGGGGGGGGTTGAGTTTCCAGGACACCCCTGAAGTCCACAGGTGGCCCTGGTGTAGAAGTGGGCCTGGGTGACAATGTTTAGCACTTTAACCCCTGTGTCTTGAAATGAACAAGGGGGCTGCTGCTGGAGTAGCTACTGGTTGGGAGCCTGCCCTCCCTCCCTCCTTTCCTTCCCTCTCATCCACCCACACTAACTAGAGAGGGGCAGTGGCAAGCTGGTCTGCAAAGCCTTCCTCCAAAGGGTGTAGGGCCCTGGGCCCGGTGCATCAGGGTCTGCCCACCTCCCACTCTGGCTCACACATGACAAAGTGACCACTGGCCTCCACAGCAGCCTCAGTGGGAGGAATCAGAATGGCAGACCCCAGGGTGTGGTAAACATGGAGCTTAGTGGACCAAGCCCTGGGTCCTTGGCAAAATGTGAGTTAGGGTCTCTGCAGATCTACCTCTGGTTCAGTGCACGCCCTTTCCTGAGAACAGGAAGATGCCCCAGGAGCTGACACTTCCCACAGAAATAGGATGCACTTTACTCAATTCTTTGCAGGCAGACGGGGGTGCATCCTGAGTGGCTGGAGCCTTTCTGTCCCTCTGGTGGTTCTGAGGGAGGCCCTGGAAGGGGAGGGCTTTCCTTGTAAGCCCCTGCCGGCTAGACTCTACTAGCTTGCCCTGGAAGTCTAGGGTTCAGGAGGGCCGTGGGTCACCCTTCTGCCTGGTGGCCATGCGTCCTAAACTTCGGGTTTCTCGGTTTGGTTTTTAATGAGGTTCTCAGCACACAAGTGCATTTCGAAAGACAGGTTCCAGCTATCACTTGTAACCATATATATACATATATATATTCTATCTACAAAATGTTTATTTGCAAGATGTTTTGACGGTGAGCTCGGGCCCTGCCCGCCTTGTGACCATCTGTCCCCAACCTCGTCCCTGCCCCGTCCCCTGGCGAGTGGCGCGGGGACGCGCCATCAACTGTATGTATTAAAAATGACTGTATCAAATAAATGTTTATTGATTTTTTTCCAGGGCTTTTGTGTGGATGAGTTTGTGCCGAGACGCGGTCCTCTCCCGTGCGTGCGCGCCCAGAGACGCGCGGCCTTGTGGGGCTCGTAGTCCGCCCTCACTGGCTCCGGGGCACGCGCTGCCGGCCACCGCCAAGTCTCCGGGCGCCATGGCTGCGCCACCGGCCTCCGCGGACGCCGCCCCCTCGTCCCCGCCGCCTCCTGCGGCCCCGGACGCGCCCGGAGCCTGCGCGGGAGGACAGAGCGAGACCGCGTGCGAGGACCGGTAGGCGCAGGGCCGGGCGGGGGCACGCTGCAGCCCCCCCCCCCCTCCGCGGCATCGTCGAGGCCCGGGCCCAGCCCACCTCGGGCTCAGGTCCGCTGAGTGGGCGCATGCCCTCCACGCCCCCGACGGCCTGTCGGCACCTCCTTCCCTGGAGGAGCGGCCGGGTGGTCTGCTGGCGGCCTGAGGGGCAGGAGCGGACGGAGGACAGGAGGGTCGCGGGAGATGGGCCTTGGTTTGCACCCCGCGAGGCCTGGGTTCGCGGCGCTCCGGGGCCGTGTGCCCGCGCGACCTTCCGAGTTAGTCACGTTCGGGTTCGGGCTCCGGCCGGCCCTGCCGCCCAGTGGCCCTCGGACTGATTCTGAGGGTGAGGTGCGGTGGTGCATTCCGACCGCCGGGCATGTGTGGGGCCTTCGAGGGGTCCGGGAGCATTAAAGGGGGCGGTGGGCTGCAGGGGAGCCCGTCAGCATCCGGCTGATCGCCCCCGCAGCGCCTCGGGGTCGTGGCCGCCAGGGGGCGGTGGTCGCGCGCGCCACTGCGCGCCTCGCCTCTTCCGGGTCTGATCGCGTCCCTCGGCGTCCCAGAACGCTTTCCGGGTGTTGGCTCGGGCTCTGGCGAACGAGCAGAGCCCTTTCAGAGCAGCCGGTCGTAGGCCCACACCATCCCAGCGGGCAGTGACCTGGAGCTTGCTTGGCTTCGGTCCATCAGGACTTGAGTCTGTGACGCTCACTGATTCAGAGGTCACTGGGTAACCAGGAGCAGAAAGGCCATGCATAGCCAGATAGGCTCCAAGTCCACACAGACTGTTCTGGGCACCAGGCCCTCGTGATGTCTCAACACAGACACTGTCCTCGTGCGGGTCACCATGGGCACAGGGCCATAGCAGTGGGGGTCTCAGGCTGACCTGTGCATTTCCTGTCCGGCCAGGGACTTTTCCTTCTGCTCTCCCAGTACGTTTCCCCACTGTCCCTGCACTGGTCCCTATGTCTATTTAACCCCTCCTCTCTGTCTTCAGTGCCTGCTGTCGTGCTGGTGCAGGGACTGTCCTTAGGGGCTACCTGAGTGATGGATACCAGCTGGTTGTGGGCAGTGGAGGGATGCTGATTGCATCTGCTTAGAACTGCAAGAAAGCAGGGTCTGCTGGAAAGGGTTTCAGGGTAGGAGATGTAAGCCTCGGTCCTCCCACCCGCCCCAGACCCTGAGGGGTAGATCCTCCTGACTGCTTCCAGCTGCCCCTCATTCCTGCTGTGTACTGGGGAATGAACTGTATCACCAGACCTTCTTATTTTTTTGAGACAGATTCTCAAATGCCCACACTGTCCCAGGAGAAACTTGTGATCCATCCTCTGCCTCAGCCTCCTGAATAGCTGGGATTACAGGCATTAGCCCACCACTCCGGCTTTGGATGTTGGCTGGGGATGCTCAGTATGGTGCAGTCTTGCTCTCTAGTCTCTGCACATGTCTGTTTATTTCCATGTGCCATCACTTGTGGGGTCGTTATTGTGGATGAGGTACCTGCTTTGGTCTCAGGAATCCCAGAGCATAACTGCTGCCATCCTGGAGGAGATCACTGAGGCCTGCCCCTTCCTGGTGGGGGGTGAAGGGGTCTGAGCCATGCCCCACTATGCCGTGACCCAAAGTGGACCCTCTCCCAGAGAAATGAGGGGTGCTCTGAGGTGACTGGACACCCTTCAGCACCCCCTGCTTCAGACGGCCCTGACACTGGAAACAGGAGGAAACTGGGCAAAAAGGTACTTGGCCAACTGGGCTCCAAATGTGGCTACTGATCAACAGCATCAGTGCCCCTGTTGGTGGTGCTAGGAATGGGTGTTCTCTGGTCCATTCTAGCCCTGGGGAGACAGTTTGGGAGTGGGGTTCCAGCACCCTAAGCTGGAGCAAAGGCAGAGGCTGCTGGGAGTCGAGGTTGGTGAGCCAGAATGAAGGCTGCCTCTTCTGTCAATAGCAGCACATCTAGGCTCCGGCCTCCCTTTCCTAGGTCAACAGTACCAGCTTCCCATGAGTTTGTCGCCTGGCTTCTTACCCAGCCCGTGGGTCTTGCTCAGCTAAGGCACCCAGGAACATCCAGGCTGACCAGCCTGGGTCCCCTCTGTTGCTTAGACATCCAAGCGAGGTAATGATCCCCAGGAGTCCCACTCTTCATTGCCCAAGACAGCTGAGGCTCCCTGAGTGAGGCCTGGTGCAGACAGCCTGCCACCTGGGAGCATCATTAGAAGGGGCAAGCTCTGAGGACACACCCGATGGCTGTTCCTTCTCCAGTTGCCTCTGGAGGGGTGGGTTATCTGGGTGGCCAGGAGGGATTGGCACATATAACCACCCACCGGGAGAGCTGGGCAGCAGAACCTCTCTGAACAGACCCCTTAAGCCAGTAAGAGATTTCTACTGTCCATGCTTGCTGAGGGTGGGGCCAGGCCTGCCTCTTCTCTTGCTGTTGTGGACAGGAGGTGGCTATGTTCCCTGATGAGCCTTGAGTGGCCCAGGGACTTTCTGGACCTCTGTGAGGTGGGGGCGGGGCTGTTATTCTTAGATCCGGCTAGAGGGTAGGGTTTCCTATCTGTTCATGCTCATAGGAGGCACCTTGGGGCCAAGGGTGGGGTGCCGAGCTCAGCACTGACACTGAGGTCAGCTGGCCAGGAGGGGTCTCAAGTCTCCCTGTTCTGTTGTGTATGGGGGTGGGGCCAGGGTACTGGAGCACAGTGATTCTCAGCAAGCCTCGGCTGGTGAGTGGGCCAGCCTGTGCTCAGAAGGGCAGCTCACACCCACAGCTGGCCTGGATCTTGCAGGCCACACTAGGCAAAGCTGTGCTATTAATATCTGGCACAGGATCCCTAGCTGGGTGATCCTCTTATGACTGTGGCCTTGGCCTCAGAGGCCAGTGGCAAGTGTGTTCCCTCAGTACAGAGGGGCTCCTGGGCCCCCAGTGCTGTGCACCTCCCCCTGCATACAGCAGCCCCACTGCCAGCCAGGGGCCCAGCCCCACCCAGGTCTTTATCTGCTGTGCTGCTCACAGGAGCGGTTCTACTCACAGAGGGCCAGTGCAGGTGGCCAGAGAGCCAGAGCTGTGCTGGGCACCGCTGTGGTGCTGAGGTGGTGATGCCTCCCTAACTGCCAGCGCCTAAGCCATATACACACCGGGAGCACACCCTCTGGGACCTGGTCGACCATGAGCAGTCCCCCAGCTTACCCTGGCATCAGGATCTCAGGGTGCTGGGCAGAAGGCAGGTGAGTTGCAGAGGAATCCCTGCTGGAGAGGAGTACCCAGCTTCACGGTGGTGCTGATCACTCCAGACTCCTGTGCAGTGCATCTCTGAGTAGCAGGCAGCAGGCAGGCTGGCAGGCACTCTGGGGAGCTGGGCCAGGCTCAGGCCACAGGGAGTTTCACTTGGGGCTGTGGGTTGTGTGTGTCTCCTCTGGGTCGTGGCTCAGTCCTTTGGGTTGAGAATAATTTTCCTCGTTGTGGCCAGAAGTACCCTTATCCATCTGTGGATAGGAAATGAGGTGTTTTGTGCGAATTTCTCTTTTCAGGGTTACACGTTTTGAGAAATGGGTGAATTTTTGCCGCTGGCTCTGGGACAGAGATTAGCTCTGGGAGGGCCGAGGCTTGGTGCAGATAGCCTTGTGGCCTTTGTCTCCAGTGAGGCAAGGTGCATTTCTGGCAAAGTCCCCCCTGGCCTCCTTGCAACTAGGCACTCTGCCCAACAGAAGGGTCTGCAACAGGCTCAGCAGTGATAGCCTTGGAAAGGATTTGTGGTGGTGGTGGCGGTCACGTCACTGGGGTGAGGAAGTCACTGATAGGAGGACCAAAAGGTCTCCAGGAAGGCCTGCATATTGAGATCCAGCAGAGCCTCAAGCGCTGGCTGCCTCTGCTCAGTATCTATGGGAGTTGGTCCTGGCTTTGTGAATAGGCGTGCTTGCCGCTGGAATCCAGGGCATGGCTGTGGGGCAGCCCTGGGAGATTCCTGCACGAGGCCCTACTCTCTCACAAATTGCATTTTCTGTTAAAGAATTTCAGTGGAGGTTGAAGGCACAGGGCGATTCCTTTGGAGTGTGATGTGGGCAGCCCCAGGGGTGAGCCTCACAAACCTATTTGTTTACTGTTGGTGGATTAGTGTGCCCAGGTGAGCAAACAGCTGTCTGCCCTCTGTCCAGGGACCTTAGGATGTCACTACAAGTCCTGTCTTCCTTTAAGCCAAGAGCTATTTGGCAAGCCTGACTGGGGGGCAGACAGCAGCCCCAGGGCACGTCATGTCCTAGGCTGTGCCCCCCACATGTGTCCCACAGCAATGCTGTGGGCACCTGCTCCCATGCCAGTGCATGGTAGAGCAGCACTGTCCCTGGGACCTCTCACCCAGTCTCTGTGGTACCTGGCTGTATTGTTTGTGCTAAGCCTCAGAGCTGTCTCCAGAGCTGCAGGAGCAAGGCTGAGCACCTCTGCCTGGCTAATCATTCCCTGGGCTCACTCCTGAGCTCTCCTAACAATGGTGGTGTAGAAACAGGTGGCCCTGTCTGTCCCCAAGGACAAGCACAGCGCTCTCCTTGTCAAACACAGATAGGAAGCTTTCCTGCTGCTAGAGCTGCCATAGGACCTGTTAGGGATTAGGCTTTGGCTCCTTTCTTCCATGGCCTCCACGCCTGTGCACGCCAATGCCCCTGCCTGGCTTGGGTCATTGCTGGTGCTCTGAGAGGTGCACTACCACTGAGGTGTGCCCTAGCCCTTTCTGTTTGGGGTCTCACTAAGTTGCCCAGGCAGGCCGGGACCTCACAATCCCCTTGCCTTGACCTCCTGGACCACTGGAATGACAGGCCTGTGCCACTGTGTCCTGCTCATGGTTTGGATTTTGAAAGCATGGCACATGTGCTTATAAAACATTCAAGAAGAACACGCAGAAGTCCCTGTTCCAGATTTTGGTCCCCAGATGGATCCTGGTTGAAATTGGCACGTCTGACATGTAAGCCTTTTGCTCACAGGCTCCTCACGTGGGTGGGCTGTGACATGCTAGGCCAAGCCACTAACCCCTCTTGGACAGCCTGAGAGATGGTGCTAGGGCCACTCTGACCACTTGGTCTCCCCATTCAGGCAGTGGCCAGGAGGGCCTTCACAGCCTGTGTCATGTCCCCCACGCCCAGCATCTTCACACCAGGCTCTGCTTCTCAGGACAAACTGAGCAGTGTCACAGGCCATGCATTCACAGGGAGCCTCCACAGAAGAGGTCTCAGGGTTGAGGCCACAGCCAGAAACTGCACCCCTTTTGGGATACAGGCCAACTGTGCAGGTGGCAGGGATCTGAGAGCTGGCCTGGCATGCGTGATGTGGTGTGGACACAAGCAGAGGTCTGAGCCTTTTTCGGGTTAGATTTCCACCTGGTAGTCTCTGTGGGCCTCCTGTTTTACACAGATGGCTCATGGGGTAAGCCCACGTAGGTAGCCTTTGCTGGATTCTGGAAGTTTCTGTCTTAAGGACCCAGGAGGGATCACAGAACAAGTTGGTTCCCTAGGCCTCCTAGCTGGGATCTCCCCTCTCGTTGTCCATCCTGCACCCTGACAGTCAGAGAGGCCAGGCCAGGGTGCCACTCTGCCCAGAGCCCTGTGTCTGTCCTTACCTCTGCCCAGGCTCTACCCTCCTCTGCAAGGAGACAGTGACTGGGCTGCCCAGAGAGAGCACTGGGCTGGGGAGGGGGGCATGGTCCTCAGGGGGTTCTTGCTTGTCCACAAGTGCCTACCTTGCATCACCTGAGGAAGGGCCCTGCCTGGCCCAGTCCACACAGGGGAGGAGCACAGCCTGAGATGGGGACTCTCCTCTCTCCTCATCACTGCAACATCCCTCTGTTCTTGTTGTGTGAACCAAGGTCCCATGCCCCTATGAGCTCTGTGGCCCACTGTAGGTGGGCTTCTTGGACAGTACCCAGTCCAGGCTTGACCTGGGTTGCGCCTACCGGAGCCCCCTTGGGTGTGACCAGGCACCAAGGAGACCAGCAGCCCCAGGTCAAGGCTAAACCACATTGTCTTTATAGCAGCAATGCAGGGTCCCTGGACAGGCTTCTCCCCACCGTGGGCACCAGGCGCTCACCCCGGAAGCGCACCACCAGCCAGTGCAAGTCGGAGCCACCCCTGCTGCGCACCAGCAAGCGCACCATCTACACGGCAGGGCGGCCACCCTGGTACAATGAGCATGGCACACAGTCCAAGGAGGCCTTTGCCATCGGTAGGAGTGGTGTGGGCAGCCCCTCGGGACCACCTGTGGGGTCAGCCAGATGTCCTGAGCACGGCTCTCGGCTCCCCTGGCAGGCCTGGGAGGTGGCAGTGCCTCGGGGAAGACCACCGTGGCCAGGATGATCATTGAGGCTCTGGATGTGCCCTGGGTGGTCTTGCTGTCCATGGACTCCTTCTACAAGGTGAGGCCCTGCTCAGCTCCTGGAGTGCCCTTCTCCCTCTCTCCCCTCCCCTGCACATGCAGGCCTTTGGTCCCTGGGCCCCAGCATGCTGTCCCCTGGGGCTGTGGGCAGGGGTCTTCTGTGGCCTCCTTGACAGGTGCTGACCCAGCAGCAGCAGGAGCAGGCCGCCCACAACGACTTCAACTTTGACCACCCCGACGCCTTCGACTTCGACCTCATCATCTCCACCCTCAAGAAGCTGAAGCAGGGCCGGAGCGTCCAAGTGCCCATCTATGACTTCACCACCCACAGCCGGAAGAAGGACTGGGTAGGTAGGGGCTCAGGACTGCAGATGGGCTGCAGAGGCAGAAGCTGGCTTGAAACTCCCTGGTTCCTTTGCAGAAAACGCTCTATGGTGCAAATGTCATCATCTTCGAGGGTATCATGGCCTTCGCTGACAAGACGCTGCTGGAGGTGAGACATCCCTGTGCCGCAGATGCATCCTCCAGCAAAGCCTGCCCTGTCCCCAGGCCTCCCCTGCTGAAAGGAGAGGCTTGGGTGCCCCCAACATGGTACAGTTTGCTCTCTCCCGCTGGTTAGCATGGGTGTGGCTGCTGGGGACAGTGCTCCCTCCCCGACCTGCCAACCCTCAGCTGTGCATTGGCTTCCTCATTCCTTGCTGGAGGTGAGGACCTAAGGCAGTAAGTCTGAGGGACTTTGCTGCAGGTCTCAGATACTGGTGCAGGCCCAGAGGACCCCACTGTTGCTCCCAGCAACCCCTAGCCCTCACAGAGCTCCTTCAGGGTCCACACCCAGAACCCATCAGGCCCTCATCCCCGTATCATGTAGATGTCACACTGCCCAGCCCAGCTCCTGCCCACTTTCACACACTCCCTGCGCACATGCTCCTGCCACACTCCTCGCAAGGCTCAAGACATGCCCATGGGGGCTGGCCCTGGACCTGACCCACATACTAGGAGGCCTTGTGCAGGAGCTGCTCCGTGGGGCCATGTGACCCTGCTGATCACAGACCTCAGTCAGCGTGCCATCCCTGTCTAGCTCCTGGACATGAGAATCTTTGTGGACACGGACTCCGACATCCGCTTAGTGCGGCGGCTGCGCCGGGACATCAGTGAACGAGGCCGGGACATCGAGGGTGTCATCAAGCAGTACCACAAGTTTGTCAAGCCTGCCTTTGACCAATACATCCAGCCCACCATGCGCCTGGCAGACATTGTGGTGCCCAGAGGTGAGCCTGCCAGGACGCTGGCACATGCACTGTGGTGCCCAGAGGTGAGCCTGCCAGGACGCTGGCACGTGAGCCTGCCAGGACGCTGGCACATGCACTGTGGTGCCCAGAGGTGAGCCTGCCAGGACGCTGGCACGTGC